TTAGGTTTGACAAGAGCTTGATTTCTCTACAAAAGTAGCAAACATTAGTGCCAATTAAATAATTCTCGGCATATGATCGATCACACTTGACACATTTCGATTTGCCTCGTGCTTCAATCCTTTGCTATCTTTTGGAAGTTCTAGCCTTTTTAGCATTGTTCGACCATGTCCTTGTAAACCGACTTTGCTCGGTAGCCCACTCATCAAATCTATTTGTAACATATAACCTTTTAGCTTGCTAAAGTTGTGTCATCCTCTTTATAGTCTCCTTCTATCTCTAGTGCCTTACTAACCATGTTGCCATAATTATTCATCAACACTCATACTAGGCTTCAAACTTCTGGTTTTAAACCCCTTAAAAATGGCTTTTCTTATATATAGCATTTCCTAAAATGAAAGTTGTAAATTGACAATTATGCTCGAACCTTCGAACATACTCGGACACTAACATGTCTCTTTACTCTAATTTTATAAACTCTTGTATCTTCTTCATTTTCACACCATCAAAAAAATATTTATTATTGAAAACTTCTTTCAATTGTACATATGTAAGATTAGGCACATCTAAAAAAAAATTCCAATTCCCCCTATATTCATACATCATCAACCAACATAAAAATGGCACAAGATACCCTATCTACATCCTCCATTGCCACAGTTGTCAAAAATCATCTCTAAAAACTCTATCCACTCTTTGATTGTCATAGGATCAGATTTACCCAAAAATTTCTTCGGATTAAACTTTCAAAATTGTTCAACCATGTCGGCCCTTTAAGACGACCTTGCTACTACCTACCGTTGTTATTGTCGCCTCATCAAAAACCTCATATATTCATCATGCCTCTACTACTACTATTGTATCAATTCTTGTTGCTACCATAATAGCCTAAACCTTTGCTCGACAAAATCACCATTATTTATAAACTCAATATTCTCCTCTCGGTTGGCAACCCTTCTACTTGTCCTCGCACCACTATATTTTTTCTTCGGTATGCTACTCTTATTTCCATATATCCATACGAATGACATAGTGCACAATCAATACTCAAACATATTCATATAATGTAACCAACACTCGAACATAACATGCACTTAACAAGCACACTTACTAACAATAATTAAGTGTGCATATTGAAAAAATTTAAACACCGACATGTCGATGATGTTGTCGAAGCATGAGTTTATGTGTATTATTTAGGTTCACTAAGTCAAACCATTCTGATACGAACTTTGTAACAACGTCGACCTAAAAGAGACTAAGAGTGGTATAAGTAATTTGTTTTAACATATTAAAAACCAATTCATTCACATAAATGAAAATCATTTCATTAACCATCAAAACACATTTATACATTAACAAATCCAAAAATTCCAAATGTGAAATTAAGTTACAAACCAAAAATGGCCAATATAGAGAACATAAAAGTGACCGGACCTAGGTAGTATTAAGTCTTTAACTTTAGACCTATACATATAGTACACACTTAGCAAACTAAATTTTTCTTGATAACATGCTCTTCATTTTGCTTAGCTACATCACATGACAAACCATGAGCTAATGCTCGGTAAGTATAATCATACATTAATACAAATAAATTTATTTTCCATGATGTTGAGATACACTTTCTATCTTTTGGATGCACCTCGTTGAATGTGTATATAGTCGGCCCTTATTGAAAATCAGCCTTGTGAAAACCATAAAAGCACTATACACATGAGCCTTGAAACCATAAACATGAACATGACCTTTTTTTTATTTCTTGAAATAAAGATAAAACATTTCCATGATATGAATGCAATTATAGTACAATTCTCAAGCAATTACATGAACATAAATAAAGTACCATTAAGAAATGCATGAAGCCAAAAATAACAAATGAAACAAAACCATGTAACATGAATTTCAATACATGAATCGAAACCCTCCATGATTTCTCAAATGTTCTCATTATCTATTAAACACCTAAACACTTAGCCAAGTGACATCAATTAATCATATAACCTAAAATCATCAACACCTTAAGTGTTTAATCAATCAATAATCATATGAACACATATCAAGTGACATCAAACAAGCACACAAATTCAAAACCACCATAGCACATGTCCAATCTTTGATCATCCAATTAACATATCTTCAATGTTCAGCTTATCCAATAAACATATAAATATATAGCCATATAATCTCATAAGTTTTAAATCATCAATTAACAATTGGATACAACACCAAGTAACATCAAGTAAACACCTAAGTCGAATCACTAAGTAACATCACAAGTAATTTATCAAGTAAGCACATAGGCATAACAATCTTAAAACACAACAATCCTATAACATTGTCTTGTGGTGAGTTGAGATGAGATTATACTTACCTTAGGATTTAGCTAGTGTTGAAAATATGCTAAAAGCTCTCAAAGATCCCATATTCCTTCCTTATTGTTGCTCTTGGCCAAACCGCCTAATTCCTTCCTCCTTCTCGACCAAACACTTTTTGGGCCAACTCTCACTCTCTATTAGCTAGAATGATTTTTTTGGAAAATAAATTTCTTTTCCTCGCTTTTTATATTTGTTTCAAGGCTAAAATATCACCAAGATGACTTAGAAATTTTTTTCCCCTTTCCTTCCTCTTTTAGTCGATCGAGAAGGATCAAAAAACCTAAGAATTGCCACTTGTATGTCCACTTAACTAAAATAAATTTCCAAATTAAATACTCAATCAAGATATTTTTCCTAAGTTAGAATATGTATACGACACCCATCAAGCTTTACTTTTATGTTAATACATATATGGAACACTTAATCAAGCTATATCTCTAAGTCCTCCGAGTTTGAACAATTTAACATGCTAATCACTTTACTTTGGCACTTAATTCACTTGAGCTCTCAATCTTTTGATTGTTACACTAAGGTCCCTTAGTCATTCATACACTGACAATACTTAGTAATATGAACTTGTAAAGCCAAACATTTATTAATGCAAATACAAAGCATAACACCAATACAAATGCAAAGCATAATATACACATACTTTAACAAAGTAAACTCATACACATATAGGAATGTTCAAAGTCGTGCGTATTACATCTTCTCTTTCATATAAAAATTTTATCCTTGGAATTTAACTTACCCAAACTATTTCGGATATTTAATTCTCATTTTGGCCTTCGTTCTTATGTAGCCTCAACCATATTATGATCCTCCATAAGATCTTGACCAAAGGAATTGCTTATTCTTTAGCTATCTAACCTCTCGATCCAAGTACTTGTATTGGTCCCTCTTCATAACTCAAATCTAATTTGAGTTCGGCAATTCAAATTTTAGAACATGGCTTAGGTCTTTGACATAATTTCGTAACATGAACATATGAAAGACATTATGTACTCGGTATAAGAGATGAAGGTAGATCTAATAAATATGCTCTATCCCTAACTTTCTCTAGTATCTCAAATGGTCTACATGAATGACATTATGCTCTATTGGTCCCTCTTCATAACTTAAATCTAATTTGAGTTCTAGCAGACTCAAATTTCAAAACATTTGGTCTTCGATATACTTTCATAACTTGGACACATGAAAGAAATTATGTACTCGTTGTAAGAGAAGAAAGTAAAGTTAATCGGTATGCTCTATCCCTAACTTTTTCTAGTATCTCAAATAGTCTAATGTATCTTAGACTCAATTTTCCCTTCTTCTGAATCTCATCACTCCTTTCATTGGTGCAAATTTTAAGAATATGTTGTCTCCAATCTCGAACTCTAAACTTTTTCTCGTTTGTATTCATATAATTCTTTTGCCTACTATGAGCCATCTTTATTCTCATTCTAACTTGCTTCACAACGTCGATAGTTTATCGAACCATCTTGGGTCTCAATAGTTTATACTCACTAACATCATCCTAATGTATCGATGATTGACATTTCCATTCATATAATGCTTCGAGGGTGGCAAAATGATGTATAAATGCTAAACAAAGCTTATAGTTCATATGTTTCGTCACTTTTGCTTGTAAACCCATGTTATATTTGGGCTATTTTGATATGTCAACATATATATGAGTTTGCAAGTTTATGAGATGGTTTTAAGATTTGTGAAACTTATGTTGGCTTTAAATGTGTTAAACCAAGGTTGTCTTGAAATTTAAATAAAAATATTTTTGTTATGCATTGTATGTTATATACAAGGTAGAGGTCATAGGGTTTTATCTCGCATTCTACGAGTGTGTGGTATTGTCGTAACACTCCCGGCCTCTCTAAGGCCGAGAGTGTTACAAATGAAATATACAATAAGCCCGAATAAAAGTTGTTATAGATTAGTCCTTGTATTTTAATAAAAGCAATCAACTATTCCTTATAATTTCAAAAACTAATTTAATACTTATTTTCTTAAAACTTATTTTCTAAAACTTATTTTCTTGTTAATTACATATTATTTTTCTTTTTTATTTTTTCTTTTTTGAAAACTATTAGGGGAAAAAATGAAGAGAATTAGGTGAGATAGGAATATTTTGTTGGGAAAGGATGTAGTTTGTGTGGGGGCGGGGGGTTACTACGTTGAGGATGGTCAAGATTAGTGAAAGGACAAATTTATTATTTTTACACCACAAGGGCTAATAAATTAGTACAGATACGATACAAGGACTAAGTTCTACTTTAATAAACAAGTAGCCGTTACGATTTCCCAAAACCAAAACCCTACATATATTTATATATCTTTTCATTCGGATTTGTTTGTCTTCCAAAAAATTCATCAACTTTTTCTAATAGACAATTCGCATTCAAATCGCTGTCAGAAGAACAACCACAAAGAAAATCGCGCGAACCCTCTTTCTCCTTGCTATATTTTCTTTATTTTTTTTCTTTTTATTTTTGTTTGGTTTCTTTCTTTCTTTAATCTAACCTCTGTTTTGCAGGTCTCTGTTTCACTAACCTCTGTTTTGCGGGATAGGGTCTTTCTTTAATCTTTTTATTTTTCCTTTTTGTTGTTTTTTTTATGTTGACATTATGGATGCAGGAACTATGAATTCTTCTTCAAGCTTGAAAGCACAATCTCCATTCCCACTTCAGGAACTGTTTCTTCTTAGAAGGAATTCTAAAGAAAATGTAAGTTATTTTTCTTCTTTATTTCATGTTTCTAGAGGTTATCATGATGCATTTTGCTTTTGGGTATTTTGAATCATTAAGTTATGATTTTGTTTCTAAGTTGCAATTGTAATTACCGAATTGGGTTCTTATGATTTCGTAAAATTTCAATGCTTGTTGCAGTTGGATAGATTTAGACCGAACCGGTCGGCCATGGACATGGATTATGCCCATTACATGCTAACAGAAGGAAGAAAAAGGAAGGGAAAAGACAACGCAACGGCTGCTATGATGTCACCATCAAGAGAGGCCTACAGGGAGAGACTTGCGGAAGCCTTGAACATTAACCGCACTCGAATTCTAGCCTTTAAGAACAAGCCTCCTGCACCGGTTGGATTGATCCCTCGACACCACCTTTTCTCGCCTGTCAAACCCACCAAGCCTCACAGATGCATTCCTCAGACTTCGGAGAGGACATTGGAGGCACCTGATATTGCGGATGATTTCTACCTTAACTTACTGGATTGGGGCAGCAGCAATGTTGTAGCTATAGCTCTTGAAAACACAGTTTATTTGTAGAATGCTTCAGATAGTTCTGCCACAGAACTGGTCACCGTTGATGATGAAGATGGGCCTGTTACCAGTGTCAGTTGGGCTCCTGACGGCCGCCGCATTGCCATTGGCTTGAACAAATTCTCATGTACTGTTATGGGATTCTGCTTCCGATACACTGGTGATGACATTGAGAGGTGGCCACAGATTGCGAGTTGGGTCAATGGCATGGAACAGTCACATCCTCACGACTGGAGGAATGGATGGTCAAATCATCAACAGTGATGTGAGAAGTAGATCACACATTGTTGAGAATTACAGAGGGCATCGACAAGAGGTTTGTGGGCTTAGATGGTCAGCTTCAGGCCAACAATTAGCTAGTGGAGGCAATGATAATCTAATCCATATATGGGATAGATCAATGGCATCATCAAACTCAGCCACACAATGGTTTCACAGGCTAGAGGACCATACTTCTGCAGTGAAAGCCCTGGCTTGGTGTCCTTTCCAAGCGAATTTGCTAGCCTCTGGAGGAGGTGAGGGAGATAAGTGTATCAAGTTTTGGAATGCACACACAGGTGCCTGCTTGAACTCAATAGACAGTGGATCTCAAGTTTGTGCTCTTTTGTGGAACAAGAACGATAGTGAGCTCCTGAGCTCTCATGGGTTTACTCAGAATCAACTCACTCTTTGGAAATATCCATCAATGGTGAAAATGGCAGAGCTCACTGGCCACACTTCCAGAGTCCTTCACATGACTCAGAGTCCGGATGGTTGCACAGTGGCTACAGCAGCTGGGGATGAAACATTGAGATTCTGGAATGTTTTTGGAGTTCCAGAAGCGGCTGCTGCTAAAAGAGCTGCTCCAAGAGCATATGCTGAGCCTTTTTCTCACTTGAATCAAATTCGCTGATGCTGAAATCCAAACAAACAAACAAACAAGGTGGGTCATGTTGAAATTTTGCCTGGTTAGTTGCTGACTGCGTATAGTATAAATCCTTGGTGAAGGTAAGCAGATGCTGCGCTGCTGATCGTTGTCCTAAGACTGCAGATCAGAGTATATATAATTCTTCTTTCTTCTAGATAACATTCTCAAATTGAGCTTCATTGATGTTTTCTTTGCCCATATTTTGTAAGAAGCCAATCATGTTGGTTGATTCTTTATAGCATAGCGGGCAGGTACGATGGAGAGGGCTAATGTCTCTTGTTTTTCCTTTGTTTAAGGTGCAGTTTGGCTCTGGCCGTCATGCTAATTTTTACTTGTAAATGAAAAGATCTTGTTTAATTTGATCTGACAATGGTAACCTCATATGTTTGCTCTCAGCAAGGGAAGAAACTAAAAACTATTTCAGCGATGACCATTTAATCTAAATTCTTTAAAGAGTTTTTTCAATCACAAGCAACTGGTACTAGATTATGTAGGGTTTGATCTTACTTAAAAGTCTTTCACTTGATGCTGACAGCACAAGTCATTGTCCTACTGTGTGGGTTAACAGACAATGGCTTTCCGTTCCATCCAAAGAAACAAAAAACCAAAGCATTTTTAATTAGTCTGACAATTTTTCTGAGTTGTTTCGCCATAAAAATTACTCTTATTAATTTGGACCTTGAACAAGTACAAGAAATCATAAGAGTTCGAGAAAATTGAACGGTTAAGAGTACAAAATCAAACAATTTCATGGGGGGGGGGGGGGGGGGGGGGGAAGGTAAATGGTAGCCCAGCACTACTTCACTGCCATTGGAAGTACATGATGTTCAATGCTGTATTTGGGATACACTCCTCACGACCATTATCTGGGAACCAAGAGCCTACGATGCTTTGAGATGGATTTGATGGAATTCCTAATGGCCATTTGTCAACCAACTTAAAACCAAATTGAGATGCAGCTGAAAGTAAGGATGGTTCATCAACACGGCGAAAGATATGACACAGAATTAGAACCGCTTTCTGGTCTCCTCTGCCAATTCTGTCGCATGAAATTAATTCCTTTGCAGTGGCAAACAAGGGTAGAATACATTCAGGAACGTACGTAACATCTGTGCCAATTATGACTTCGAAACCATCGGAACTGAGTTCCTTGATGGCTTCTATATGTTCTCTATTTCCCCACTCCAATCTCTTCGTAATTAGTTTTGCAAGGGATGGCTTTCTAAGGTTAGAAGCAACATTATGCGCCAACAGTTCAAGTGCTTTTGTGTCGCCGTCAGTAGCAACTACAAGGTCAGCTGATTTGGCAGCAACCATTGAGCATATGCCCCCACAGCCACACCCCAACTCTAACACCTTTTTCCCCTCAACAATAGTTGGATTTACTGCTAGCACCGAAGCCATCATACGAGCTGATTCCCAGAGCATCATGCCTGTTGACTTACAAGTATGCTGATACTCTTTTGACAGAACATTAATCTTGAAATTCTGGTCCCTCAGTTTAATGTGAATCACCTTTTGAAAAAAAAATACATTAATGTCTATGAAGTTATATCCTTTTTTTTTTTTTCTATTTGCAGTATGATAATGCAATTACGCAGCACAAGCATTATGCTTACACCAACCTATCAGCTATTGGAAAAAACAAGAAACAAAACGCAATAGGTGAAGCATACCTCATTATCATTGGAAAGAGAAATTCCAAACATTTCAGCTGCCACACCCTCAGACATGTCAACCTCAAAATTGTTTGAATGGCACTGTGACATGCTTTCCTTGACATTAGACTTAACATTTTCCTGACTGAGGTCTTCCATGATTGCAGGTTCTTTACTAACAGACTTGTTTGAGCTGTCTGAAAATCGGAATACAGCTTGGATCCAACGCCTGAAATCAGGCAAAAATTACACAAGACAATATTAAAAGAAGAAACTAGAAGGAAAAGTAGCCCCTAATTTTATATATGTATTAAAACAAAAAAAACGAATGATTTTGACTTTCCAGAAGTTTGTTTTCTTCTCCAAGATATTCATCATTTACCTATTCATCACTATTTCACGTGACCTATTCTCAACTTGTTTGCAACACAAACCAAGTTCTTCAACATCAAATCCATAATCTTTAAACAAACTTGTCAAGAATTCGTTTGAAAAGTAGAAAGCACGCTGCAAAAGAAGCCAGAGGAACAAAATTATAGGCTGGCTAATATCCAAACTAGAATGCTAAGAATAATGGATGCACATATTTTGAAACTTACAGTGCCATCACCCCTGACATAAAAGTTTTCACTAATCTGTTGATCCTTGCTAGTGAATCTTTCCTGTTGACCATGATAAGGGAAGTATGAATAAGGACAACAACCACTGAAGCAACTAGATGGAAAATGACTTGTGCATCTATACGTATACAACCCACATTAATAGGCATACATGCACCAAGACAAAAACCATGAGGCAAATCTTCAATCCAGCTTATTAACTAAATCTCCAGACAATCAATAAGTGCAATAGCACTGAAAACTCAGCCCATAAATGCCAAGATGGGGCTGTGGTGTTAAAAAAAGATTGACAAGGTCAATCATCACTGAAAACTATAAAGATGGATCCAGCACCTGCTAACCAAATAAAATAGAAGTGAAGTAAAAACAGAGTGCAGATCAACCTGAGCAAGGTCCCCTACAGCATAGTCGCGAAGCAGCACATAACCATTAGGCTGAAGAAGGAAAAAATTGAGTTTCATCACAATTAATCAGCCTATCTGAGTAGATAATAAGTCGAAACTTACAATTACAAAGATTATTTACCTTGAGAATTTTTTTAACGTTTTGCAAGACTAGAGGCATCTTCTCAGGGGACACTGCAGATAACACAAATATCTGCTTAAAAAGTCAGAAAGTTGAATAAAGGGGAAAAGAAACTTGAGAAGTATAATTTCTCAATCAGAAACTGATGACAGCTGTTATCAATCATGAACGTAAACAAAGTGAAATCTTATTATTATGTAAACATTGTAGATAACAATTTTCATTCAAATACCATTGTCACAATATCAACTGAGGATGGAGAAATATCTTTGCTCAAGTCATCAACAGTCAGATCGCATACAAATGCACCAACACGGGTCTCTAAGTAGTCTTTATGTGTCTGCAACAGGCAATAGAGATCTATTCACCTCTAGACAAACTTATGCTAAAAAAAATATGGATTATAAGCCAACTGTAAAAAATAAATGTTGAAGCAGAACTTATGAGTTCAAGGTAAAATTTACTAAGCTTCATATGTGATCCAAATGAAACATAATGCCCACCAAAATCAAGCCAATATTTTATCAATTTATAAACTAAAGGCACAACCCTAAATCCAGTACACAAAATATTGAAGAAGATAAAACATATTGTCAAAATCGTAATATCAAGTATCAGGCTCAAAGAAAGAAATATGTGATCTTGAAGGACTTTATAGATCAATGCTTCCTTTACCCTAGTAATGTATGCAATCATACCAGATCATACAAAAGTCAACTTTAATGTAACCTATCACACTTTCCTTATAGTGGAGACATAGATGACAACAAAAATGGTGGTTCAATATATTCAGAGAGAGGGCTGGGGCTTACGGAAGAAAAGTTATGATAAATGAGTCAATATTGGTTACCATATGTAATGGACACGGGTCAAGACAGCCGCAATCGTAATACTCAATGCTAGAATTAGGAAACAGATGGATATTTAAGATTAATAATATTGCAGCCAACTGAGCACTTAATGTCCAATGTCAACTCATCAAGAGGAGTGTCAATAAAGCAGAAATTTCAAATCATAGAGTAATCACTTTTAACCTCACTACCAGTTCTAAGGCTTTACCCCCATACAACATAAGTGCCAGATCTGATGTATGGTTCTGAATAATACAGTTTTTACAGAAAAACAAAACAAAATAAAATAATAAAATTCTTGGATATGTTCAATCATACATCATTGAAATGAATCAGCTAGTAAAGAGTAAGTGATCAAACCTTAACTAAGTTAACAGCACGTGGTGAGAAATCACAAGCATAGACAAAAATATTGGGGTAGGTAGCAACAAGAGGAAAAATGGTGTTCCCAGCTCCACAGCCAATCTGATTATCAGCAGAAGTTGTCAATAACCAAAATAATATAAATTAGAAAAGTCAAGGTGCAGAGGAGGATATGTTCTGTTTACCTCGAGAATAACTTTCCTTCCTTCTCCCTACAAATCTCAAATCAATAAAGTCAATAATTCCACATGATTACAAAATTTATCCAACCATAATGACAAACAAAAACCCTCTCTTTTTTCAACTTACTGTAAAATATTGACCCCATTCCTTGTCCAAGTAATGCCGATCTTTAAAAAACTGAAGAACAATAGTAATCAATATCAATAGCTCCAAAAATAAATTAAAACACCAGTGCAATTCACAGACCATAATAAGTTCAAAATCTTCTTACATAAGATAAAACTAACTCAAAGTTGCATCAATTCACTTACAGCATAATACATATAAAATGATTGAGAAACGTTAGACCAACAGACACTATAAAAACGAGTAAAGAAGCTTACTTTGTCTTGGTGACGCTTGTAAAAAACATCCCAATACTTCTTAGCATCCCTTTCATACTTTTCTGACCAAAAACAAAACATACAGAGTTAAATTACAAATAAAAATCGCATTCTTAAGCAAATTTGTATTGTCTTTCTGAGAAATAGAAATAGAGAGGTACCCCTCCAGAAGGGAGTGACACCAGTGTTAGGACTAGAGTATATTTGCAACTTGTGCGATGGGTTTTTCTGTTCCACATTGGACTCCATTGCACAGACCTTGACAGAGAATTCAAACACTTCAATCACAAATCAAGGGGAAATGAAGCCTAGACAGCTTTTGATTCAATCAAACATGAAAAGAAATGTGTCGGGTATCAATAAAATAGAGTAGATGAACAAACCCGTACCTTTCCTACTGAAAAAGGAGCTGTGGAGCGAGGAAGAAACTGAGTGAGAGATGGAGAGGGAGAGAGTTCTGTAATTAGGGTTTTGTTTTTTGACCACCAGCAGTGGGGTTTTAAGCGTTTAGCTTGCATTGACAGGGGAAAAAAAATGAAAAAGAAAGTAGTAAGCTTGGAAGGGCTTCATGGTAAAACTCATTTAAGCCCAACAGCCAGTTGGCCCCCTTGGTGGAACGTGTGACTAAGGGAGATCCGTTCCTGTACTCTTGGTTTTTCATTCTAATATCATCCCTATACTAATTTATTTGTTAATGTCATCCCTTTACATTAGGCATTAATTGAAGAACCTTTTTGTAGTTATTGCACGAAATTGAAACTCTTAGCATAAAAAATAATAATAATAATAATTCTACTCAAATTCATTTTGTCAGCTTAATGCATCTCGACAAAAGATCTAGTTGCATTGAACCATTCAAAATTAGTTTTCAATGACAATGGGAGTTTTTTAAGGATTGATTTTTTTTTTTTTTTTTTTTTGAGGTCTCTGATTACGTTCAAAATAAATATTACGGCCCCTCCAAAAACCATCCAAGCTATTATGAATTTATGATAATTGGTTCTCCTGTCACTTTCACAACTAAAATTTTACAAATTTAGAAAGACTTTTTCCCCTGGATTTATTGAAGGAAAAAGATAATCTGAAACTTCGAGTTGTCAATTATATTCTTTATGGAAATGGTAAACCAATTCAGGGAATTTCTAACACAAGTATTCAATTAGTTCGTAAGACTTGCGTAATCCTTTGGCTTGAGATTAGCAACCGTATGGTTCTGACAGAATAGGAGATTTTCCTTCTGAGCTTTTTTTTTTTTTCTCTTCTAACAAAATGTACGGTTTGCTGGTCGTTAATATCCATGGTTATATAACGTTACTATCTATTGTCAAGTAGTACTAGGCCTCTTTGACGGTGTCCTTCTCTTAATCAATAGGTACATGCTTCAAGCAATGCTTTCTTTTTTAAAAAAAAAAAAAACTTTATTAGGAGGACAGGGCGGTTTTCTATTCAATCAAACGTGAATAGACTTCTAAAAGATATAAATAAAACAGAGTAGATGAAAATACTTTGCTAACATTCATGCAATTTAATCTGATTAAGGGTTACGCCACCTTGCTCATTGAAGGTGGCTAAAATCTGCACACCAGAAAACAAAATATTTCCATAAATCAAGCATCAAAATTTGTCTCTTTCACTAGTATTCGCCTCAAAAGGAAAAAGAAAAACGTGCCTTGCTATGAATGTTACAACATTTAGCCCTATTAACACTTTATACGTACTTTACTGAGCTCACCTTCATGAAATAATCCTTCCTCTCATATATCGCACCACTAATTTTAAAAAAAATCATAATAATCATCATTTGACATGATATAACAAAATGGTGAGATACAATTTAGAAAATAAAAGGAATAAAGAACAGCAACCTAACGATAGGCCTTTACCAGCAGTTCTTGTTCTTCTCCTGCATGTATGACAGGGTTAAATTTCTCATACAGATGCTTCAGAGTCACCTTGCTTTTCATCAGTTTGTACAGTTGAGCTTATCTGATCCTTTTCATCGGCATTAGTAACCCCTGTTGGTTCTACTTCTGGAGTAACCCCATCTTCAACCACAGGCACATCCCCATTTTCTGTTATGTTCTTTCCCTCTATGTTATTCGCAGGTCTTGGCAGCTCTCTAGAAGAAGTTGCCAACAAACGGCCAATTCCATCATATAAGTTCTTCGCATCCATAATGAGAGCAGCTCCCCCAGGGTAACAGCGACCAAAGCACATGGCACAATGCGGATAAGCAACCTACAAAATAGGTTTGTAAGAATGTGAGGTTGTAAATTCCATTCGATGACCATCGAATCATCCAAGGTTTAATTAAATGTCACCTCTATGAATGCCCGACAAAGTGAGAGAAAAAGTCCAGATTCATTGTCTCTGAGCATCCGCGTTGTATTATATCTCAATAGAGAATCGGACACAGCCTGCAATCCCTTAATCAGTTTTTGAGCAAGCACATGCTTCAAACTTACTGGGGCACAAGGACGTAACTCATTCATTGCAGCAGATACACCTAATCCATCAGAAAGACACATCAGTTGATGCCAAAGAAACGAGCAATGCTCTGAAACACCCAAGCATTATCTTTTTCAAGCAATTATACATGTATTCCTGGAATTCAGTCTACTCTGCCTTGAGAACACACTCAACCTCAGCTAACCCAGACAAAAGCCAATAATTTAGTCTCTGAATGAATCATAGGGTGTCATTGTGCTGATATTTTATAGATCATGCATCATTTATCAACTAAATTGTCTTGAAACTTAAATTTATAATATGAATTATGAATAATTCAGCTTATATGAATAAACTGCATTGCACTATAAAGGTAATCAGATGAAAAACTGAAATTCACAAACAGAGGAGAACGTATGTTTAGGAGTGCTTCTCAAACTTACCATTAATAAACACTGCAAGAGGTGGATGTTCCATAAGATAAGATGGTGGAGTCACGTCCTCTTGATGTTCTTCACCAACACTATTTGACGGAAAACCAACTGCTGGTAGTGGAACCCAGCGATGTGAATCCAAAACTAGCTGCAGTAAAGACATCAAGTCACGAATACAAAGCAATAAGCAGCTTGAAGGAAAGCAAAACTACCAGACTAAAGTTGTTAATAACTAATTCAGAAGTAAAGTGAGAAAAAAAGAAACTCAAGCCACTGTAAGAAAGAAAATTCAAACTTCAGCACACATGTCATACCTGAAAATTTTCAACTGCTGTACTCATATTCTTAGAGAATAAATTAAGAACTGCCCTGCAAAATAACCAAAATCAACTTTTGCAAAGGGAAAGCATGAGAGAAAATAAGTAGATACATGTAACAAAAAATGTATCCTTACTCCTCAAAAAGAGGCGGAAGCAAGCCCCTAAAATCCAGCCCAACCCAATTAAGTCCCACTGCACAATACTGTCAGCCAAAAAGAGTAATGTCATCATCAAATTCCGTATGCATTTAGGGTCAAGACTCTAATTTATTGCAATTTCCTTCACATTCAGCAGGACTACAAAACCTACACACACACACACAGTGGGAAGAGAGAGGACATAAGATTATAGATTTAGGTCACAATATTTGAGAAGCAGAAGATCTCTCCAGAAATTAATATGATTACAAAAACATTGCCACATACAGCTGAAGAAAAGAAGAGAGAGAAAAGGTTGTTAGGGTGATAATGCACCATTGTGTGGTAGAAAAATATGGAAACACAGGTTTTCATTCAATCTTTCATAAGCAAAATGGGAAAGGATGCTTCTATAAGTAAGCCAGAAAAAAAGGTAGGTGAATGTGAAAGTCTTCCAGAAAGTTTAAATTATCAATGAAATAAGTGCACAGAAATTTTTGCAGCAAAAGCTTGAAGGAATTCAGCAACAAATGTACTTATCTTACATCAAAGTAAGATTCTTACCATGCATGAGTCGAGAATATTTGAGAGAGACCCACCCTCAGTTATCTTTGGGAGCATGATTTTAAGTGTTTTAAGGTGTGAGGTAATCTGATGCATAGCCCAACTAAAAAGAAGTCCACCATCATAATTTTCTTCACTTCCCGACGTATCATCAGCAAATATTGCTCGATATTGGTTAACAACATCAAAAAGATGCATTCTATGGCAATTTATCATCCCTTTCAAATACTCATAAGCATTTCGCTGGTCCAGATCCTCAAGAATACCAGTAAGCCATGCCTCACGACATCTCAGAAACTGAAACAAAAATTAATCTTGGTCAGGTGCAAGCATGTTATCTACTAAAGAAAGCATGCAATCAACTTAACAGTCTCCAATCCAGTAGCATATAAAACTGTGTTTAAAAAAGAATAGAATTTAGCATCATCCCAGAACACAAAATTAGCATGGTACACAAGAAATTTGTGATATTACCTGCAAACGCATTTCGTACTCACTAAATACTCCTATGCGACGTAAATATCCAATAATTCGGAGGCATTCGGGCAACTGCAGTTTATGGAACAACCAAAAGATTTTGTTATCAAAATCCCAATCCTTAGCATAAACCGATTAAGTTGCATTTTGTTCAGCATCTTATAATACCTGAATATTTGCATTTTATTTGACTACTACATAGTACCTGAATATTAGAGCGAAGTTTCTGAAGAAGCTGAAAAAGAAGAGATTGGGTGGTCTGCCTAACTTCTGCAGCCAGTGCTTGAATAACAGGCAATCTTTCAGGGAGAAACAGATTCCAAGTAAGCTTTCTTTCACAGAAGTAAAGGGAAACGATAATATCATTTGGCAAGGAAATGACATGGAAATCACTCACTTAGGGTGCATGGTTGAGAGTTTGCAAACAAATGCTTCCAAGTCAAGAGCTTCATCATAATTTCCATTCCTTACACATCTGCAAAATAATGGGAAATGTCGAAGCTTTCAGTGCCATACTACAATTAGAAAATCATCATAAGCCATTTCACAACAGGCCCCAAATCAACTGTCAAGTCCTATTTAATTTTTAATAATCTTCAATAAGCTTTCTATGTTTAAATTTACTTCCAAAGAAAAGCATCCATACCACACAAGCGCACAACTGCAAAAAATTCTCAGAAAGCAATAGTAACATATTCCATTGAAAACAACAAAAAATAAAAAATAAAAAAACCCACATCCTCCTATCCTTCTCCATCTAGGTGCATAAAATTCTTCTTCCTATTTCAGTCTTCCCAAAGGCAAGCAAATTCCCCTTTCTACAAAGCATCCAGACTCACCATGACCAATAAGTTGCAGTGTTTTATTAAATCGTAAATTAGGTTAGCTAGAACAGTTTCTTAGACCCCAACTTAATCTGTATGCTTGGAACACTTCACATAGTTTAAAATGGATATTATGGTCAATAAACGCTTCCAGTCAAGAAATGCATGAAGGGTTAGTCTACAATAGAAATTTGAGAAACACCATATTTGGATCTAGTATGTTAGACATTGATTAAACTATAACACATGACCTTATTGAATGTGTAAAACACATACGTGTCCATAAGTTGAGGGATTTCTAGTAGATCGAGCAATGTACTATGATTTGCTAGCAACGTTTGGTTCATCTTCCTCTTCTCCAAAATCTGTTCTGCAGATTCGATGAATTCAGTGCAACCAAATGTCAGCTTTGGAATCTCAGTTATCTGCCAAGGTTATAGGAGAAAGATCAGGATACAAAGACTCCATATCCTTATATGTTATAACAAAGTTTAATAAGAACATATTCGGTAAATACTTCATCGGCTTATGAGACATATTAAAAAGAACTTTTCTTTTATTATAGTGCAAACCTTACTCTTAATAAGAAAAACCTCCAGTCCTACCAGGGTACCGCAGACTCGATCAGCATGTTCGTATTGCAATCAAATTTGAAAACACTTAGCAGTTTCTCGAAAATATAATTCAGAATAAGCTACCCTTGATCAATAACATTCTCGTGATCAGTAAAATGCTTCACCATTGATTGATAACATCCATGTAGGAAATGCTCTAAGAGCTCTCTCTCTCTCTCTCTCGCCTCTCTTCGCATCATCATGTATACAACCAGCAATTATTTACTGATCCGTAAAGGTAGTCTTAAACAGTAAACATACCAGTGAAACGTAGTAATCAAATCATGGATAATTTTTATATCCTTCCAAATCAGAGAATCATCGATGCTCACTTCGCATTTTGATTCAACTGGAAGATTTTACGATTGCATTGAATCAACTAAAATAAAGTAAAGTGAATAAAAAACAAATTTGAAGTACCAGAGATTCAAGGTGGTTATCAATAGAAGAAACTTCTTCTGTAATAGCAAGCAACGCATCAGCAGCGGCAATAAAGGCACGGTAATTCCCAACCGCTACCTCCTGCATTTGCCTCTGTATTCTCTCCGCATCCACCCGAAGCAACTCCGGTTCCTTTTTCCAACACCAGAAACAAAATCAGTTTGGTTTCTCAACATAACAATTAAAAATAAAAAATAAAAAAAGAAGAAGATAGAAATGAAGAAATGTAACATACCTTGTGAAGGCGATCGAGAGTGAAAGAGAGAAGCTCAGATACGTAAGGTTGTTGAGAAACAGACGCCAGTGGGAGGAGACTCGTAACCGTCGACGACGTCTCCTGTCCGTTTTCTGTTATCTCCATTTTTTGGGTTTCAAATCAGCAGATGAATTTAGGGTTTTGGACTTTGTTACGAAAGAAATTGCAGATCTGTTGAATTTTTTCACTGGACCGGAGAGCTTATTCAAATGTATTTTTGCTCGTTTTTGCGGATCTCGTAGAAGCTGGAGTTGTCTTGTGCGTTCCGGTGACTGGGGACGGGGCTAAATTGTTGACGCCACGTCAGGCTGGGTCCCAGTCTTTGTGATTGTATTCTGGCCGTATGATCAAGCGGGATCCGCATTCACATGTCCTTGTCCTATTGTCTTTCAAAGATTAAAAGGAAATTTCTTTTTTTAACAAAAATTACGAAGGCTAATTAATTTTTCAATAAATTTGAATATTTATATTTCTTTTTTCTCTGTAATATACATTTCCAAAAACTGGTCACTCAGTTGACACGTTCCTATATCTATTCATTAGAAGATTAGAGATGGACAAAAGGATTAGATAATGTTAATTTCAAATAATTAAATTCAAAACTACATAGTTTTATTTTCATTTTCATGTTGTTTGCAAACCGATGATTCTTCTTTTTTATTTTCATGTCATGTTAATTTTATAAAAGGTTTTTCTCATATTTGAACTTTTGTATTTTTTAAATTTTTTATTATTTTTTTATTTGATTGAAAGTCTTTACTTTTAAAAAAAATTATTTCATTGTTTTTTTTATATAAAGATATCAATCAATGATAACACTTCTTTTAAAAAATTTTACTTTATGTGTTGCTCACGGATTGTTACCAACCAATTCCGTAACGTAGAATAACTTAACAAGAATAAAATGAATCTAAGTTTTATTGATGAATGTAAGAATCAATATAAGAATTAAAATACATTTGATAAAACATAAGAATTATTTGATAGAGTAAAGATTAGAAAGAAAACAAAGAAGAAAAGATTTAGCCAAATGATTCAAGATAGAAAATGGTCTTCTTTTTATACCAGCTTAGTCCGGTACTTCCCTAACGATCTCTAACTAATTCACAACAACTCTTAACTACCAAAACTAACTCTCAACACATGTGTCATGAGTGTTAGTTATTTCCCTTTGATAGCCTTTCCTGTCGACTCGTTTTTTACCACTCGCCACACATCTAATCCACCTTAACTAAGCCACGTGGACCTCGTATTCCTTCGAGTCTCTTCCACATACCCTACTCGGTCTCGCACTAAACCTTGCCTTGTAACAATACCCCTCGGTTAAGAAACCTTGTCCTCAAGGTTAAAGTTAGGATACTTGACTTGTAAATCAAAGGCAAATTCTCATGTTACATCCGCAGGGAGCCGTGAGACCAATGAATCGATAGCTTGGTCACGACCACATTACCTCGTTTAACCACCTTCCTATCCAAAATAGCCGGAGGATAAGGATTAAGATCGATCGAATAAGGCAAGTGGTATATGAGTAATGATATCCCCACGCATAGGTTTCAATTGAGAAACATGGAAAGTAGGATGAATTTGAGCGTAATCCGAGAGAGCCAAAGTGGAAGCAACAACTCCTATTTTGTCAATGATTTTGAATGGACCAAAAAATCGAGGGGAGAGCTTGTGATTAGAATGATGAGCCACCGAACCTTGCCTATAAGCTCGCAATTTCATATAGGCCTAATCTCCAATCCGAAACACTCTATCAATGCGATGTTTATTAACCAAGTTCTTCATATGGTGTTAACCACGACCGAGATGATGTTTCGAGGGATGCCAACATGTCTTCCTTCTCCCATAATAGTTGATCCACTCGCCTCCACCTTAGAATCACCTAGGATATAAGGAAGGTGCGGAAGAGGTGGATATCCATTGTGAGTTTTGAATGCGATTTTCAAAATATTAGAATCAAAATCTCTTATTTGATGATATTCGACTTCTTAAATCAAGTTTAGAAAACACTACCGATCCATGTAATTCGTCCAAAAGCTCCTCAATGACTCGGAATTGGGAATTGGTCACGAATGGTGAGTCGATTAACCCTTTTATAGTCCACACACATTCGCCAAGTTCCATCTTTCTTTTTCACCAAAACAACTAGGGAAGCAAATGGATCGTAACTAGGCTGAATAATGCCCGTGTCCAGCATTTCTTGTACCAATTTTTCAATAATATCCTTTTGGCCGGAGGGATATCGATATGTTTTCATAGTAATTGGTTCTACCCTCGTCTTTGAAATGATTTTATGATCATGGCTTCTTTTAAGAGGTAAGCCTTTTGGTTCCTAAAAATGTCAACAAAATCATCCAACACCTTCGCAATACCGCAGGAGTTGCCTCGATAACCTCCATTTCAAATAACTCCATATAAGCCCGCTCCCGACTTAAGTAGCCGACTTAATTGTAACCAATTGAGTCGTCCTCGACCCCTAACCACCTTATTCATCTCTTCTTCTTCCCGTGAACTAGGTAACTTAGTGGATTTTCCCCGAAGACTTAGCATTTGGCCCTACCACAAGACCTTCATCTAGAAAGCTTTGAAGTTCCAAGTGATGTCCCCTAGGCCACACAACCATTCAACTCTTAATATTATATCATAAATTTCCAATTATAATACAAAGACTCAAGTATCAAATGCATTTTGTTACATCTTCAATTGGAATAACTCACACACCATTTCAGTACCTCCAACCACCTTAATTGTCACCGGTGTGATATTTGTCAATTTACAATCAATCTGTTTGACAAATCTACCGTCCAAGAAATTATGAGTACTTCCCGTATCGATCGAATTTCCATCCCATATCTATGTTTCCTTCCCGTAATTCTCATAGTTTTATATTGATGTCCCCCAAAGATCGCACTCATTGATATTTGATAGAGCTCTCTAAGTATAGTTGTCCGTCATGCGATCCGTACATTCAACTATCGCCAATTCCACCTTCTCACTTTCCCCTTCATCATTCTCTAGCTCTAACATATATACCGTTTTCCTTTGCATTTATGCCTCGGGAAATACTTCTCATCACGAAGTAACACCGTCCCTTTAACCTACGTTCATCCAACTCCTTAGTACTCGTGGGCTTCCTAGTTATAAATGTTGAGTTACCTCATTGGAATTGAGGAGGTAATGCGAGTATGCCTTTTTGTGTATTAAGATGGTTACTAGAAGTTGTAATAATTTGTATATAGGGTGAGGTTTGTGATGTATTTTGAGAAAATGAATTGGTGTTGTTTCTCCGATTATTCATAGGTAAGAATCTATTATTATAGATAATGGAGTATGGAGCGCTTCGTAATGAATTTTGGATCCAAAGGTTGAAGTGTTAAGGTTGATCTCTTATAGTTTAGCTAAGGAAACTACATCTTTTAATATTTTAGGTCGAAGCATATGGATTGGCACTTGTAAAGCCTTTAAACCGCCTAAGAAGCAACTAACTATGTAATCCTTTAGCAAAGAGAGTTTATTTACCAAGGCTATGAACTTCGAGGTGACTCGAACATCACCACTTTGCTTCAAATTCATCAATTCAACCATAGGATCATTGTAAATCATTGCTCCAAACCTCGTGTTTAATGCTTCCACACACTCCTCCCATTCCGAGCCGACATTATCTCCTTTCATTTTAACAAACACCCGGTGCCATTCAAGTGCTTCCCCTTCCAAGTGTATTGAAGCTAGATTAACTCTAGTTCTTCTCGTGTTTGATCAATTTTAAGGAACCTTTCACATCTAAAAACCCAGCCTTCCAAATCTTCCCTATTAAAACTCGAAACTCCACCCTAGATAGCTTAGTATTAGCTTGATAACCTATGTTGAACCCACGATTTCCCCCATTCACGTTTACATGTATACCTTCCTCCTCATTAACTTCTACATTGACATGTTCTCTCGTGAGTATGAATCTTTCTATCTTGATTCAAGCTATCCTACATATTCTTGTTAATTTGCATGTTTTTCATAAACTATTTGATTTCTGTAATTTCTAAGTTGTACCGATAGGCCATATCATCCCGCTTCTTCACAAGGTTAGAGATTACCTTTGTTAAGTTGTCGATGGATTCTTCCACCTTTCTTGTAACCCCTGTAAAAACCCTTATTCGTAACGCGACGTGTATTAGAATAAGTCTATATATATGTTTATTAAGAGTAAGTGTAATTATCATTTCATCATGAGAAATTAATGCTTGAAATATGTGATTTATATTAAATTAAAGTTATTGTACTTAAGATTAATGGTTTAATTATTAAAGAAATTAAATACGCAAAATCGGTGTTTTAAGGACTATATTCTACCCGAGTTTTGTGTGACTTATTTGAGGCCTTTAGAGTAATTTTTGGGTCAACCTTAAAGAATGAAAGTTGTTCATCTATGTGTTTAATATGCCTGTATAACATTTTATAATATTTGTACCTATACATTAAGAGTTATACCAATTATAGTGAGGGTTGTTTCGAAATGCATTCTGCTGGAATTTTGGGAGAAGAATCTGGCCGAATCTTGTGAGATTTATTTGATGCTTTTAGATTGATTTTTGAGAAAAACGTAAAGAATAAAAGTTGTTTTTCTATGTGTGTACTAGCTCTCTATAAAATTTCATAAATGTTGGATACATATAGAAAGAGTTATACACATTTTAGTATAGATGGGTTAGAAGGAAACACTGCTGGAATTTTGGGGGAAAAGAAATTCCGAATTTTTAAAAATGGAAATTTCCAAATTTTTATGAAAGAAAGCAGTTTTAGTTACTTGAATTAAGTTAATTAATGATTTTAATTAGTCTAAAATGTATATAGACACCTAAGCAAATGCAATAAATGAATTTAATGCCAACTCACCCATTATGGATTCCAAAGCAGCCAGCTTTCCTCATGACTCACCCATAACCTTTACACCTTATCCCATTAATTTCTAACACTTGTAGCTGAATGAAAGTAAGTATATATATGTATAACAAGTGTTAAATTAGGAGAAACACTTTAGTAAACCGTAGGTACCAGCAAATTGAGAGAGAAAAGGCAAGAAAGAAAAGAGAGGAAGAAAAACATGAGGA